GATTTGTGGGAATCTGATGTCATTGGTAAAATGGTTTGTTAAGAACTTAAGATATTATTTAACAAATTTTTTTAAGGAACTTAAGATATTAGTAATTTTTATATTAAATAGATGTCGTAGAAGCCTCTAATATTTTTTGCAGATTATGTTAGCGCATTGCCGTGTTGAGATATGTTTCCTCTGTCGACCAAGAAACTAATATAAATTTTTTAAAACATTCTACATTCGGCTAGTACTATTTTAATTCGACCATATATGTTATAATGATTAGTTGATCATTTTTTTGATAACTTAGGATAAACCCCCATATCTATACAGGGGTCTAGGACTAATCCCTGGGAAAAAGATGTTTTAAAGGTAGACTTCTCCCAAGGTTTTCAAATGGATCGTAAATAATGAGTCCATATTATCCATGTGGCCAAAGGGATAAAGCTGAGAATTCTGTGTTTGGAGAATCGATTTCTGGCCTAGACCAACAAAGCCACTCTTCCACTAGACTAGAACTACTAGCCCACCTCTAGTTATTAGTTGATCATTTTGAAAGATACTTATACAACTATCTTCACCAGAAGATTTGTTGATGATTAGATAATAGATATAATGATATATGTTGTTTAGTCGCATCCTACATAAACCATAAATTGTATTTTGAGTATTTAAAAATACTATATAAGATATAAAGAACAATATACAAAAAGAGAAATTTAGGTTACGTGTCGGTTTCATATAATTTGGGCACCTAATAAATCACTACTCTACTTCTTACTAGTTTAGATAAACTGTTGAATATAAAGATGGGTTATTTCAAGTCATTTCAAATGTTTTTCGAAAATTTGGAAAACTTTACAACTCCTTTTTTGTTTTGAAAATTTTAATTTAATATTTGTATTAAAACTCTAGACTTCATAATCAAAAAGGGAATCTGAATTTTTGTCAAAAAAAAAAAAGACGTGATCATAAAAAAAAGAAGTATATATTTCTATTCATAGTAAATATAATTTTGTCCCCTATCTTTATTTATTTTTGTTGATTTATTAAATATGAGAGAAGACTTGATCTAAGAGTCAAATATGTTGTGATCCGTTAACTTCAAAGCGAATTACTGTTTATTTCACAAAAGCGTACGTCTCCGATTTCCATATATACTATAAAACACATAAATCTGCCGTCTTGGAGATTGGAAACATATCAAGCTTCTTCTTCGTGTTACGCACTCTCTTCTCTCTTCTCTCTTCTCTCTTCGTCTTCCATCACAGAAGACAGAATCCAATGTCGTCGACGACCTACAAGCTCAATCACACTGTACTTCAATCTCTCCTTCTCTTGCCGATTCTGTTTTACTCACTCTCTTTTGCTCTGTTTTGCCGTTAATTTGACTCAGTGGTTCATGAATTGGCTTATGATTCGTGTTTCTTAAATCTCTCTGCTTTTTTTTCTTCTCCTTCAATTCTGGGGGATTTTTAATAGCAAATTTGTTGAGCTGGTCAACAAAAATCTTTCCTTTTTGATTTATGATCGTGTAGTGATCGCCGGCAATTTCGTTTATTGAAATTGATTTGGAATTGAGAATGTGAGAGACTCTTTGAGTTGGTATTGATGAATTTGTTCTAGAGGATTCGGTAGTTTTGGTTCACCGTTATGTTTGCTATGACTATATCTTCATTCAAAGCTTGTGTTTTTGAATCAAAAGGTTTTAACTTTATTTGATTTCTTGGCAGGATTCTTTCGGAAATGGAGATGCAAAGAGTATGGCAGAGAATGGTTTCAGTCATTTGACTTCACTTGCTCAATCAGAGAAGGCTGTTCAGGAGCTTCTTCTTCAGCAGACTCCTATGCAGGCTACTGACGACCATCTCATTGAGTTTTCAGAGGCTTTGAGAAGTAAGCAAGCTTTCGATATGTGTAACATGAGCTCTTTGGATATGGGATTTAACTTGAACTTTCTTGGATATTGTAGCTGTTGCAAAGGCACTAAGGGGAGCTGCTGAAGGAAAGGCGTTGGCTCAAGCTGAGGCTGCTGAATGGAAGCGTCGATACGAGGTAGAGAGGTCGAAGAACGTAGAGTTGCAGCATAAAGGTTCTCTACTAACTTAAAAGGGTCGTTTTTAAAATGTTCACCATTTAGTTCTAGTAATTTTGATTTGAAAGGTGTTATTGGCTATGGATGTGTTTGAATAACAGAATTGCTGGCTTGTTTTACAGAACTGTCTAATGGAGTGTGTGCCGATGAATCTAATAGTCAAAGGATGGAGCACTTAGCAAAGTCTCCGCGGCTTTATGCTCAGGAAATCAGTTCTAATGGCATGGAGCGTATTTGCTCTCATGAAGTGCTCCAAGATGGTGGATTTAACAGTTTTACTAACAAATTGAAGAGGAAGGTAAGATATAGTTAACTGTTACTATCCTTGCTTTTATTTTTTGGCTATGCAAGTCAGTGAGCATAAGTAGGCCAATATCAACCTATGTACTTGTGATGAATCTTACATTAGCCTTTGTTGGACTTGCACATTCTCGTATCAAATGTAGATGAATATTGGTCCGTCAGAGTTGTTAATGTATCTTCGCATTCGCTTTATCCCAATTACTTTGACATTCAAAACTGGCAACGGTATTGCAGGAAATGATTAGTCTACAACAATAAGGAAAGAATGAAAACTCTCTAATATTGAAATTTCTTTAAAATTGGCTGCAGGCATCATTTAAACTTTCATGGGGATGTAAGGGGATGGCTAATGATCAACACAAAAAAGAAATTGTTTCGTTCGAGAGAGGGAATATCAGTACAGCAGAGCGCAGTAGTAAACAGGTAGGACTATTGTTTCATCTTCTCTATCTTTCTGTTTCATATCTCTGAATTTACAACTAATGGAAAATATTTGTTCTCAATTCCAATCACTTAAGTTGCTTGATAAGGTGTTTTTAGACTAAACCCAACAACTTATAATTTCAGATTTCACTGACATGGGAGTCTGATCCACAAACTGTGCTTATTATCACTAAACCTAATTCAACTTCCGTGCGAGTTCTCTCTGTGGATATGGTCAGGTCAGTATTTAGGTCACTTCTAGAATGAGTTTCAATACTCTTTGAGAAAAATGTAATGGCTACTTGTATAAGATTATGCTACCCTAACCATAGGATTTGTTCTGTAACTCACTCTGAATTTCTGCTTTGCTGCTTCATCTCTTTTATTTATGTGTCTCACAAACTAGCTTATGTATGTGCTCATTTGGAAAGTAGATTCTTGGTGCCGATGAAGTAATTAGAGTTTGGTTTATCTCCATTTCAGATGGTTGAGAACGCAAAAAGGACTAAATATTTATGTGGAACCTCGAGTAAAGGAAGAACTCTTATCAGAGTCAAGTTCCTTCAACTTCGTACAAACTTGGGAAGATGGTAAGATATGATATATTGTTTTCAGATTGTTCTCTGCCATTGATGCCTATGAGAAAAGTGTATGGAGCGCAGAAGTGTGAAATAAATTCATATAGACCACATCAAATGCTTAGGCCTTGTAGTCAACTCTTAGTTCTCAGAAGTGTGACATAACTTCGTTTTTACCCCAATTGATGATTTGTGGTGCAGACAAGGAAATTTCACTTCTACACACAAAAGTTGACCTTCTTATAACTCTTGGTGGGGATGGCACAGTGCTATGGGTAAGTAAATCTTGGTTTTATATGACTCAAGCTAATATCATCTTCCATCTTTTGCTTTTTATATTACCACAGATACAATTTAACCTGAAGTATCTTAACGGTTGCAGGCAGCATCGATGTTTAAAGGACCAGTGCCTCCAATTGTTCCATTCTCCATGGGATCTCTTGGATTTATGACTCCTTTCCGTATCCTTCATTTTTTTCTTTATCAGTTAGTTAGTTAAGCTGTATTACACATTATCTGTTACAAAAAGTTTTCTTTAACTCCAATCCAGACAGCGAACAATACCGAGATTGTCTCGAAGCGGTTTTGAAAGGTCCAATCAGTATAACACTACGACACAGGTTGCAGTGTCACATCATCAGAGATAAAGCAACCAATGAATATGAAACAGAGGAGACTATGCTTGTTCTGAATGAAGTCACCATTGACCGTGGAATATCTTCTTACCTCACAAACCTTGAATGCTACTGCGACAACTCATTCGTCACATGTGTGCAAGGCGATGGACTAATACTGTCTACAACATCTGGTAGCACCGCGTATTCACTTGCTGCTGGAGGGTCAATGGTCCATCCTCAGGTAATAAATACCCCATAATGATCTTTATATCCATAGCAACAAGCGAGGCTAGTTCTTTGATTCACAATTCAAATTTCTTCAAATTCATATGCCATTGAAGAACTTGAGAGATTGCACTATAGCTTTAGTCTTATCTATCAATAACAGATAATGGATTATATTCTAACTTAATGTTTTGCAGGTTCCTGGGATCTTATTCACGCCTATCTGTCCGCATTCTCTATCATTCCGCCCACTGATATTACCGGAACACGTGACAGTGAGAGTGCAAGTGCCATTCAACAGCAGAAGCTCCGCTTGGGTCTCCTTTGATGGGAAAGACCGGAAACAGCTTGAAGCAGGGGATGCACTAGTGTGTAGCATGGCACCATGGCCCGTCTCAACCGCTTGCCAAGTTGAATCCACCAACGACTTCTTACGCAGCATCCACGATGGTCTTCACTGGAACCTAAGAAAGACTCAATCGGCTGACGGGCCTCGAGACACTTAGAAACAAATTCCTCCAGCTTTTCTCTCTTTCATTCTTAACCAATAACCATATATAGTCTCGACGTCTATCTATCTATCTATATGCATATAGATAAAGGTGAAAAGGAAACTGATGGGTTCTGTGAGAAAATGTGATCTGTATCCATTGTTGTGTAAAGGAGATGTGTAATAATGTAGCTGCTTTGACCCATAATTCTGTTGATGTAATAATCACTCAAAGTTAATGAATCAAAGATATTTCTGCATAATTTTGTGTCCAAAATGCTAAATGGTTGTCTTAAGAACTGCTTTATGCGTAAATTTAAGCTACTTGCTACATAATTTGCTATTGTGCATACTCCAACTTGATTCAGCGCAGAGCTGTGTCATGGTAGAAGAAGAACACATCCAACAATAAAAAAAAATTCAAACAAATATCATTACATGTCCTAGCTTGCTGCATTTCTTTTTCTTTTTGCATACATAAAGGTTAGTAAACCTACTTTGTTAATAATATGCATCATCATCATCATCATCATCGCCATTTATGCTGTCATCGGTTTCTTGATCAACCCCTGCTCTGCCTTTTGCTCTTACTGTTCTGCCTGACCCTTTCAATGGTTTTGCCTTCTCTGCCTGCAGCTCCATGGCTTTCTCTGATGGTTTCCTTTTTCTCTTTCCTCGTGTCTCACCCATTTCTTCTGCAATAGAGAGCCATGCATTAGTAACGACATCATCTATCTATATCTGTGGTATAACACATCAAACATCCACAAAACTGATCTACAAATGCGACCTCCATCTAGCATACTTCTAACTCTTTGCACTTATAATCTCACGTCTATAGGAGATTCATAAAATGTGTTTTTCATATGAAGTTGTTACTATCTTTCTTACCTCCTTGTGGACTTGATGCATGGTGTCCATTCTGACCAGCCTCTTCAGAAGCGGGAGATGCAGATATCTGACCTTCAATTAACTTGATGCTTTCAACCAAATTGTCTAGCTGGTCATTTGTATCTGGGATCGGTTCAGCTGGAAGGTAGCGGAGTTCCTCCACTGACATATCTGAATCACTAAAAGCATCCTTTTCCACTGTCTCTATGTCAACTTCTTCATCTTCATTAACATCTAATACTTTCACCTACACGCATACAACAATTTAGAGTTTCAGGAAAACATGTGATAGAAAGATAATGATTAAGTCTATATCTATTTAAGTTCTCACCTTTTCTGTCTCAGGTATCAAATCAAATTCATCTTCGCGTTCCACATACTCTTCGTTCTCCTCAAGCTCCTTGAAATCCGGAGCAAATGCACTCCAGTTCTCTGTGTAATCTTTTGCCCAAATATATACTAGACCCGCCAAGGAAACAGAGACGATTATGGGATGAACAGGATGCCAAGCTAGATCAATCAACGCTTCTTTAGGACCTTCTAAAATTTTCACAAGATGCCCCGCTCGATCCCATATGTAGATCTTATGTTCCCCTTTGCACGCAGAACCCCCAACTACCCACTCACCATCACCACTGAAACAAGGCGCTTTCCAATGCATTTTTGTAACTGAATCTTGGAATTCCCTGAAGAGTGTTAAGCATTTTGATCCAACAGTCTTCATTTTCTCAACACCATCAAGCCCATCTATGTTCTTTCCCAAGTCCTCAAGGGATCTAAGCACATTTTTTGCTGGGAGAAGATTTTCATATATCCTAATGGTTCGATCATGTGAATTCGTGAGAAGATACTGCCCATTCCTGCTAAACACTATGTTTTTCACAGGTGCCGCGCCAGGCACAGGAACCAAAGCAAGAACTCGAACACTTTTATAATCAACTATAAGTATTTCTCCTTTGGAATTACCTATATAAACAAGATCCCCACACTTGTTAAAGCATGCTGCAGCTGGAGAGAAAGGAGGATTTGATTCAGGACATTTACTGCGTTGTGGAGGAGCTAATACATCAGGCATCTCAGGCACAGCGACTGGAAGCAAAGTTGTACAATCAATATCAAAGTCAACAATCATCGGAGCAGAAGAGAGCGGGCACGCCAGACAGAGAGAAGGAGAACTCAAGCCAGGGTTTAAACGAGCTTGCAACGGAGTCTGCTGAAGAATCGTACGAGCAATCTTCTCTCCGGTAGAGACATCCCAAAGAGTTAATGACTTGTCTGCAGCAGACACAAGCAAGCGGTGCCCATATTTGGACCAGGAGACACTTGTTATAGCAGCAGAACAATCATTATCACGAATCTCCTTTGCAATGCCTCTAGTTTCGAAATCCCAGATTACACATCCCCCATCGGCACATCCCGCTAACAACAAATAAAGAATGCAAGAGATCCTCTCATCAATGTGTGTACTATAAATATCAAAAAATCTAACCAAATTCATAGATAGATAACGAAAACAGCAAAAGCTAAATTGGGAAGGATTTATACCAGCGAGAAGAGAACCACGGTGGTTAAAGGCAACACATTTAATGACACCATGTTCCAGATATTCTTCAATCACCTCCGGAAAATCTCCTTGCAATGGATCTACACAGAGAGACCCAACAAATTATACACCCAGTGACGAAGAACCGAACAATGGGAGTGGAAGCACAAGTGCACATAGAGCTCACCTATGATCGGAGCGTTCATGTTCCTCTTGTTGGTCTCTGAGAGTGTTGTGGAAATTGAGTGAGTGACTGAAGACAGGCCCTCGAAATTAGGGTTCCTACGATCCAATAAAAACTTGACGATTGAATCCAAGCAATCTAGGTAAAGTTTCTAAGAGCCGTGAATAACAATGGAATTGTTGCAATTAGGTTTATCAATCTCTCTCCGAAGGCGATGTACTTTGAGATCGACGTAACCTTGGAACGCGTTTCGAAACGAATTGAAACAAGGAATGCGAAAGCGTGAAAACGAAATCGGAGAAGGAATGTGAAAGCAGGGATTGATTGGTCTTAGCGGAGAGTATTGATGAAAGCTTTTTTGGTTTCTGACGAATTTTGATGAAGAGAAGACCGACTAACGGCGTTAGACCAAGGGTTACTTGGGACTGACTTGGGGTTTAATTTAACCAGTGTTATAATTTTGAATAATTCTCTCATTAAATTAAATCTAATATGGTCTTTTAAGTAATTAAATAGAGTAACAAAAGATAGAACAATGACACGTGGCAACAACCCATTTGCACGAAAATCATATTTGGATAAGGAAATGGATATCATTTCTCCACAATTCCACAAACTCAAATTACCCAACTTCTTAAACACATTCCCATCAGCTCACAAACCATTAACCAAGAGCCAACCGAGAGAAAGAGAGAAAGATCAAACGTAGGATTCAATCAACTATCAAGCAATGGCATCGATGACCATGACTGCTACTTTCCTCCCGGCCATCGCCAAGCTTCCCTCAGCCACCGGCGGACGAAGGCTCTCGGTAGTCAGAGCCTCCACGAGCGACAACACACCCAGCTTACAAGTCAAGGAACAGTGCAGCACCACAATGAGGAGGGACCTCATGTTCACGGCTGCAGCTGCAGCGGTTTGTTCTTTGGCTAAAGTAGCCATGGCTGAAGAAGAAGAGCCCAAGCGAGGGACAGAGGCGGCCAAGAAGAAATACGCACAAGTTTGTGTCACAATGCCTACGGCCAAGATCTGCCGCTACTGATTCAACAAACCACCTTCTTCATGCCTATCCCTCTCTTTCAATTTCGGTAAATTTTCTCAATTAAGTTTGGTCTGTAATCGTATATTGATCAATTTACTAAAAGCCCTTTCATTGTTAAGTTGTTAACTAGAATCGTCTCCTTTCACCATTAGCAAAACTTGACAAAAGCAATGCATAGTGAATACAAAAGAGTTTCCAAAAGCTAGATTAAAACCAATAAAAGACCAGGACTAATTCATATTGCCGTAGCAGAATATGAGAATTAGCTTTCTAAGACGAATAAATCCAAACTGAAACCACATAAAAGACTTGAAATGTCCACCTAAAGAGTAAGTCTACTACCAAATTTATTCAAAGTGAATACCTTTCAATCACCTGCAAACGCAGAGCAATGCCTCTCTTTTCCCGCATGGTTTTAACAAATATTTTCCCTGTCTCGTCTCTAATAGTGCATTCACCTCCTTCCATTTCCATTGAATAGCCTCTAGTTTTCATCCGACTAAAACTCAAAACGTTTTTGTTGATCCGAGGAACGAAAAGCACATCCTTGATTGTCATCCTCACTCCCTTCATCATGAACTTGACATCTCCTATCCCTTCTACCATGGCAACATTCCCGTCCGATAATTGGACCCCACCTCTGTATGTTCTGTCCAAAGATGTGAAAAACTTCTCATATGGAGTCATGTGATTCTCAGTGGTGGTGTATATCATCCACAGATCCTCATCATAAGTGAAACAATCTTTGACTTCTCTCTTCCGAGCTTGAAGTGTCGCCGCAGGTTGTAGATTCATTGTGTTGCAGCAATCTCTAGCATAATGCCCAATTTCTCCACATTGAAAGCACTGGCCTCTGCCTCCACTCAAGTTCACTACCCTAGGGTTGTAATAACAGTCTTCTTGGTAGTGATTGTACTTCTTGCACACGCCACACCACATCTGCTCAGCCTTGGCTTTTCTAAGACTTTTAACGAAATCCTTCAACCCCTGAGGCATAGTTTCAGGATGTGATCCATGTATCTCCAAAACCTCAAGAAGATCATGAGGAGTCATATCAGGCAAATTCATGAGTTCCTCCAACACAGGAATAGCATCATCATATGGCCATGACAGCGAAGTTAACAGCTTCGCGATAACATCATCATCGGATATCGGATATCCCGAAGCGCGGAACTGTTCAATGATATCCAAAACTCGCTCCAAGTAAGAATCCATAGATTCTCCTTCATACATCATAAGCTTCTCGAATTGCTTCTCTAATCCAAGTAGCTTAGCATCTTTGTTGGGATTGTTCTTATCGTACCCACTACACGGCAACCGATCAGAGTGGGCTTTTCTAAGAATGTTAATGAACTTCATCAACTCCTGAGGCATAGTTTCAGGATGTGATCCAAACAATTCAAAAGCCTTAAGAAGATCACGATGAGTCAGATCAGGCAAAGTCATGAATTCCTTCAACACAGGAATAGAATCATCATATGACGGTGGCAGCGAAGTTAATAGCTTCGGGATAACCTTATCATCCGATATCGGATTCCCCAAAACAAAGAACTGTTCAATGATTTCCTCAACTCTCTCCAAGTACAACTCCATTGGTTCTCCTTCATACATCATAAGGTTTTCGAATTGCTTCTCTAATCTACGTAGCTTAGCTTCTTCGTTATCGTTACCTTTTTTGAGCAAATCCCAAAGATCCTTGGACGAAGCAATCGAGATAGTCTTCCTGAAAACCGAATCTGGGAGAGAAGATTGCATTATCTTAAGCGCTTTGTTGTCTTCAATCACACGATTTCTCCATTGCGCTAGATCTACGGCCTTAATAGTCGCCGCTAACTGTGGAATCTTCGTTGGATTTGGCGAGACTCCGTTTTGAACAACATCCCAAACTCCATTCTCCATCAGTCTAGTTTCCGCCATTGGAGACCAATGTTCGTAGTCAAAGTCATCGGAAACACCGTCTTGGAGATTCGCCGCCATAGCCGCAACTGTCGTCAAACCTTTTTCTCTGTATATTCTCTTGGAGAAAGCAAAGCGACTAAACTAATCCCTCTCCAGAAAACTTTCTATTTATTCTGGTGACTTATGCTTAACCATGAACCCTAAATCTCAAAATTGAGTAGTGGCTCGGCTTTGGTTTATTTCTTTGTTCGGTTTAACGCAATTGGATAAGTGTATATAAACCTAAGGGAAAAATGGGTAAGAAAACCCTCACTTTTTCTAAAAACATATAAAAAATTCTCATTTCTTTTTGTGGGTTTTTAAACTCTCACCTCTACATAAATGGTAAAATAAATCATATTATTAATAAACCAATTCTTATAGACAAATGAAAATATGCATAAACTAACAATGGATCTCAAAAGAATTGAGAAACTAACCATAATATCTGAAGATACACTCTCTCCTCAATTACAATTACTCTTATACCCATTTCTTTGTTACATGTTATTTTTAAAAATCACACAAACACTCACAACGATTAACGCCTACGACACCGCATTCTTCTTCTTCTCGCGACGGGAGAACAACGACCACAATAAAATCATTGTTACTAATTTTATCTACCATTATCATCATCACCCACCGTATTCTTCTCCTTTTCGCGACGGAAGAACGATGACTACAATAAAATCACTGTTACTATTTGCGACTACGACACCACCATCACCACTCGCGACGAACACCACCACCGCTTCTTCCAAAACCATCATCACCTCACCCGTAACCACCTTCCTCACGGCTACCACTACCACTGTATACATCTGATCTGTCAAAGATCACTCATTTTCTATATTTTGTTCATGGTTGTTGTGAGAATGAATAGATTTTGTAAAATTTCACGTTCTTTTTTAATATTAATCGAAATTTTTTTGTTTGACATGCTATTATAATATATATTATGTAATTAATTTGTTTGGCACGGTTCTTTTTCAAATGAAATGATATTTATTTATATGACATGCTATTTTTGCAAAATGTACGTTATAAAATGGTGAAAATGTCATTAAAATCCCTAATTTATTGAAAACGTTGATTTGAATCCTCAACTCCCGACGAAACGAAATAAATATCAAATTTATGTTGACTTTCCAAATAAATACCAAACTTTCGTTGACTTGGCCATATTAGGCATGACATTAAGTGGGTTAACAAATCCCGTTAACACAGTTAATTTTCTGTTAACATACATGTTAATTGAAAACGACATTGTTTCCTATAACAACAAAACAACGTCATTTTGTCATAACGATTGAACTAAATCCCTAAATTCAATCTTAAATCCCCAAATCAAGCAAAATTTCTAACCCTAAATCTTCATATGATTTGAAACCCGGAATTTTATTGAGGAGTTACAACAAAATGACGTCATTTTATTATTAGAGGGAATGTTGTCGTTTTCAATTAACAGGTCTTGTAATAGAAAAATTAACCTTGTTAACAGGATTTGTTAACCTACTTAACGTCATGCCTAATATGGTCAGGTCAACGAAAATTTGATATTTATTTGGAAAGTCAACATAAGTTTGATATTTATTTCGTTTCGTCGAGAGTTGAGGATTAAAATCAACGTTTTCAATAAATTGGGGATTTTAATGACATTTTTCCCTTATAAAATGTCACTTTTTTTTTATAAATATCGTGTTATTTTAATATGTTTCACGCGATTTGTTGAAATATCTCAAATCTATGACTTTTTCTCTGCATAAACTTGCTCATGGTTCAGCTTTTCAAATGAAATGATATTTGTTCATATAACATGCTATTTTGAACAACTGTACGTTATAAAATGTCACTGTTTTTATAAATATCATGCTATTTTAACACATTTCACGCGATTTGTTGAAATTTCTCAAATCTATTACTTGTTTCTCCGCATAAGCTTGCTCATGGTTCAACTTGCAAGGACATTTTTGTTTTTTAATATGCCGTCATATGGTTATTTACCTATAAAAAAATTGACAATGGTTAGTTTATTAATTTTGACTCAAAATTTGGTTACTTTGTAATATTACCCTAAACAAATCGTTATATGAAAACATAACAAAATATAAACAATTTAATTTAGGATTTTTTTTCTAAAATTCTAGTTGACAATCTTTTTCTAATTTAAATTTTTTGAAGGCATGATGTAAAAAAGTTTATTAATGAAGTTTTATTTGGTTGTGTTACAGAAATTCATCAACGTGAACCAAGCAAATTTTGTTATGAGTGATATATAAATTCTTATACCAATCCGAATATGAATTTATGTTAATACATGTTTATTCGATCCAATCAAACAAATTTACTAATGTGAAACCAAACCGAATTTTATAATACTACGTAAAGTATATGAATTTTTATATCAAAATATTTTCATCGGACCAAATAAACTATATAAACATTTATTAACAGTTATTATATATATATATATATATATATAACGATATATTAAAATATAATATAAATTAGATTTAATTAATTATTATCTAATATTTTTATCCAAAATTGAACCTCCAACTGAATATGAAGTTTGTTATAACTTGAAAAACTCAAACAAACCAAAAAAATCAAATGTGTTATCCTGTAAGTTTTTGTAGTTTATATATAACATAATTTCTAATAGTAACAAAAGGTGATTTGTTTAATCTCAACTAAATGGTGAATGAATTTTTATATCGCAAAAACCTTAATTTTAGAAGAAAAAGAATCGCAAACTCGAATTTGAAAAAAATGTTGCTGTTTTAATATAACAATTTGTTTAAATTAAAGTTGAGTTTAATAGTAATAGTGTTTATTTTACTATTTAGGAAAATGTGAGGGTTTAAAAACCAACAAAAAAAAATTGAGGGTTTTTTATATGTTTTTAAGTAAAGTGAAGGTTTTTTTACCCATTTTTCCGAGTTACTCGGCTCACTTCGAAATGGATACAGTAAATGGTAAATAGATTCATATACATTCTCAAGAATTAAATCAAATTGTGAATTTGGTTAATCATACAGAGCTTTCGAATCGGTTTAGTTATTATTGTTAGGGCCTTAGGGGAATCAATTTTGGTTAAGCCTGGTTCAATTTCAGTGGGTTGGTCCAGTTAAGTGATTAACCGTACACCACACGCAAGCTCTCTCTCCAGCCATGATTAATACCAGTTGTTGTCGATGGTTTGGACTTGTGTGATTATAACTAATCTAAGATGAATATATTCTGAATGATAATTAAAGCAGAATTTATCCTGAACGATAATTAAAGCAGTGGTTGAGTCATCTTAGTACGTGGTTTACTTCAAAAACTTTAACACAGCACTGAATATATAAATTCTGTTTATAGGACCGGAACAGTATTACATTGATCTATAACATTTTAGTATTTGCACTTTGTAAAGGTGAAAAACGTGACATATTAATAAATTAACAAATCCATTTCATTGTCCAACGATTAAGTGTGAATATGCATGCACAAATTTATGTCACAATGCCTACGGCCAAACAATGCCCTTGTCCTTTCATGTCTATCTCCTTTCTATTTCGGTAAATTTTCTCAAGTTTGGTATGTTATCTTATACTTGATCAATTTCTAACAAGCCTTTCATTATTCTACTAGAAATTGATTCCTTCTTACCATTAACAAAACTTGACAAAAGCACACTGCATTGTGAATAACAACATAGTTTTTGACTACTAGATTAAAACCAAGCCGTCTAGGTTAAGAGACCAGACTAATGCTTACCACAACAGGGGAAAATGAATCAGCTTTTCTTACATGAACAAACTGAAAAAGAAACAAACAAACACACAAAAGATTTGGTTTGTCCATACCTTACGAGTTAAGTCTACTACCAAAATTATTCATAGTGGTACAAGCCGCTAGTTAAGAAGTGAGATTATACCTTCCATCACCTGAAAAATCAGAGCAAATCCTTTCATTGTTAAGTTGTTTAACCATTAGCAAAAGTTGACAAAAGCAATGCAAAGTGATACAAAATAGTTTCCAAAAAACTAGATTAAAACCAATAAAAGACCAGGACTAATTCATATTGCACTAGCAGAATATGTGAATTAGCTTTCTTAGACGAATAAATCCAAACTGAAACCGCATAAAAGAGCCACCTAAAGACTAAGTCTACTACCAAATTTATTCAAAGCGAATACCTTTCAATCATCTGCAAACGCAGAGCAATGCCTCTCTCTTCCCGCAAGGTTTTAAAAAATATTTTCCCAGTCCCATCCCGAATGATCCATTCACCGTCATCCACTTCCATTGAATAGCCTCTTTTTTTCATCCGACTAAAACTCAGAATGTTTTTGTTGATCCGAGGAACGAAAAGCACGTCCTTGATTGTCATCCTCACTCCGTTCATCATGAACTTGACATCTCCTATCCCTTCTACAATGACA